CGCTTTTCGGATTCATTCCGTTTGTTCATGGTCTATAAACAATTAATATAACACGGGAATCAATAAACAATAACTAATTACCCGAATTACCAACAATCCTATCAACCCTAGATCAAACCCATGATCCCAATATCCAAATTAGGGCTTTTTCCACCATGATTCCCAGATCAAAACCCTCCCCCATCGATAGTTACCCATTAGATTACATTCTACGGATCGAAAATGGGTTCGGGGAGCTAAAACCTTACCTTTAGCCTTAAGAATGGTGCCAAGAAAGCACCTGGGATCGTCTCCTAGCTCTCAAAGTCGAAAAGTGCAGAATAAAACATTTTTGGGGTATATTTCCGACTTAAGTCGTGTCTGACCCCGCTACATCGGTACTCACCCCGCTACAGCGGACCCGCCCTGGCGGGAATAATCTTGTCCTAGCGGCTTGCACGGAAACAAAGAGCTAAATTAAGAGTTTCAAAATCCCAATTCACAACACACCTTCAACCCATGACACTCAAAAAATACTCGTTCACGCTAAGATCAGTTTCGAGAGTTCTACTCGCCCGAATTCGATTTCGTCAAGTCATACGGGTTCCTTAACGTCTTAGCTATCTACTCATGTGATCAAAATCATAATTGGATCTTCCATTTGTTACCAAATTTCCCTTGACCTTAGTGGCTCCGATTTCATCCAAATCTGGATCAGGTTGGGAAATTTCAAGTTACTACCAAAACGTTTTCAGGCCCAAAAATTTTCCGCATTGGCTTTTCCATAACGATGGAATCAGATTGTTACACCTTCGGACATCCAAGTCTTCATCAGAGTATGATTAAAATTTGGGGATCTTTCTGACCCTAATAAATTAGTTGATAGAGAGAGAAAATCTTATCACAAGTTGAAAAATAAAAATCATTGAATGATATAGTGCCTTCATGGACTCTATATCAAGTTGATGGAATGAGAACCTAATTAATTAAATACGATGTCTTTTATTTATTTTTTCTCAACTTTCTAGGAGAAAAACAAATGGGGGCTACCCCAAAAACTCCCCTAAGACACTAGTATCCTGGGAGCAATGAAGTGAAGAGATTTCAGCGCAAAGAAGGTAAAAATCCAATGAATTGTGATCCTCTTTCATCACGATTTGCTCTCACCAAGACAAAAACTTTTGTCCGAAATTCATTAGCAGTTGTTTGGTGCCCAGATAAGCTAGATCTTTTTAACTAAGTATTCAGGCTTGTCTTCACTTACATTATATCTTATGGATTGTCGGAGATTGCATGTATAGGCCTTCACATACGAAGTCTGGGTGGTTGAACATGTGGCTAGTTATTGTTAGATTGATGATGGATTTAGGTAGTATAAGGGTAAAATTATAATGAAAGTGTCTTGTTTATTTTCTTAGTATAAATAGTAGTCTTTTTCATTTTAGAAGTTAGATTATGAAGATTATGATGAATTGAATATTTGAGAGCTTTGAAGCTTGTAGTTTCTAGGTGAAACCTAGCATTAGTGTAGTTCATAGTTGGTAATTGTAGTTGAGTGATTAAGGTGGATTCCCGATATTGCTTGTGTTAATTTCTTCTAGTTTAATCAATCATCGAGTTACCCTCTTAGTGGATTCAATTGGTTTTCTCATTTTTGATTGAGTTCAGGTTATTGTTATTTGGTCGGATTCAATTGAGAGGTGAAGGTATAGAGTAGTCCTTTGTTGTTCATAAATTTGATTTGATTTTGATAATTCCACATAAGTATTCTTATTTCTTTCAAGTGTCCCTTTGAACCTTATCAACTTACAAAGTTACATTATTGATTTCACAAAGGACAATAGTGGAAATTACGGTTTAAATTATGTTCTTAGATGTCTTAATAAGTGTGCACTGCCTCACAAATTCAACTAATATAAAATATAAGGAGTGTGTTGATATTCTTACTAATTATGACGTTTAACTTCATATGAATCTATTACTTTTTTTTCATTGTATGAATTTCATTATGTAATAGTTTTGTGTCAACATAATAAAAATAAATAGAAATAAATTATAATAACTTCTGGAATCACATTGCCTTAGCCTTTATTAGGGGTATGCGCGTACTATTCCGATTAAGTTGAAAAAAATTTAAATCGAACCGATTTTTAATTTGAAGAATTTTTGGGCATATGTAAACATTGAAAATTTTATTAAATAAATTCATATTAAATTTTGAATTAAATCTTAAATTCCCAATATGTCCATCAAGTCAAGTTATTGGTTAATAAGTTAGATTAGTTATTAATAAAAAATTATATGACTTAATTGAAGTCCAATTACATTTGGGTCAGTCTGTTAACTTAACAAGATGAGCCCAATCCATGCTCTTCAAACCCAAGATCCACTAGAATTACTTGGATACCAAAATACCTCAAGCCTTAACTCGTGCCTATGTAAAGAGGTCTCCATACAACCAAAAAAAGAAAAAGGATAAATAATAGGAAAACTCTCCTCTTCAGTGGTGATCCACAAGTCTTCCGTATACAAAGAAGTCTTCGTCCTCACGTGACAAGCTACAATTTTCTGTGCCTCCAGGGTTGTGATCAAAGCTCGGCTCCGTGTTTGTGGTAAAATTCCAAAAAGTACTTCATCGATTTAAGAACAAACCAAATCTTTTGAGTTGATGGTCGTGGAAAAAACAATAAGAGGTTTACATATTTTTATATTAAATTTTATAAGAATTGTAACCCCGCATAAACCATTGAAATTAAATAGTATTACACTATTACTTGTCACTAATTTTCTTGTCTTGATTGCTACTTTTTAGGAATGAAAAATTGGTCATTACAATGTTACTCCCTCCGTCCCTAATTACTTGTCCATATTTCCTTTTTTAGTTGTCCCTATTTAGTTGTCCATTTTGACAAATCAAGAAAGGACAACAATTTTTTTCCTATTATACCCTTATTTACACTTCTTAAAAATTGTAAAAGTGTATGTTGTTTCTCTCCAATTTATTTCACTTGAATTCAAATAAGTGGTTGTAATTTTGAAGTGAAAAGTTGTCATAAGGGTAAAATTGTAACTTCACTGTGCTAATCATTGTTGCCTTAATCTGTGTGCCATTTCTAAAGTGGACAACTAAAAAGGGACGGAGGGAGTATATATTGTATTGTATAATCAATTAATCAAAAGTCTATCTTTCTTTCTTAAACTCCATATTACCCAAACATCTTCGTATAAAAAACACAGAAGGATTATTATTTTTTCTATAAATTGATGTGGTATATTATAGAGTACTTTTTGGTTCGTATAAAAACAACAGAAGTATTATTATTTTTCTACAAATTGATGTAATATATTATATAGTACTTTTTGGTATGTTATATATCTTATTTTTTGTGTCAGTCGTAATTTTTTTTTTTTTTATTCACTGAAAAGATATTGTTCTTAGAAAAAGAAATAGATTGAAATATCTTTTTTTATCAGATAATGAACATCCTCATTTTACACTTATTTATATTCATTTAATTAATTAACTTATTCAAAATTAATGTTAGATTAATACTCTTTCTTTGGTACATTAAACTCGACAATTACTTTCTCTATCTGAAATATTTAACTCTTTATTTTTTTCAAGACACTTTTGAAGCTTGTGACTTGTGAGCTCACGACTAATAATATTTCAGATGGTTACTCAACTTTGAATAGTTCACTTAAAAAGTCACTCAACTATTGATATTTCACTTAAAAAATCACTCAACTATTGATAACTTACTCAGCAAGTCACCCAACTAAATAAACTAATTTTTTAAAAGTAATAAAATGTTCATTATCTTCATGCATACAAGATTAAATAATAAAAAAAGCCAATGCTATTATATTACAAAAAAAATCTCAACAACCTAGGAGGCACTCTAAGCTTCTTCACTTTGGATTTTGAAGATTCATTAATCCTTTTGTCAACCATATTGCTGTTTCTCTAGAAGAAACAACTTCTTCACCAAATGGTTTTAGCACACCAGCTAATTCCTCTAGCTTTTTATGCTTAAGTAACTCTGCACAAAGTTCAAGTAATGACTCTAATGCTTCTTCCCTTCCATTGCTTATTACTGAAGTATCACTCGATGCTCGTTTGTGATCATCGCGTTTTTCTGTATGCTGATTAGTACTTAGATGATCAATGGCTTTTGCTCTAACTTTATTGGCATTTGAAGTAACTTCAACATATGGTTTTGGTATTCCTGATTTCTAAAAAACGCATTGTGTACCTTTCTTGTCCTTAGTTGGCCATTCAATCTTCTGAATTGTACCTTCAATAGTATTATCAGTTAAGGTACTTCTTGTAGAGCTTATGGAATTTGTGCTTTCACTTTTCTTGACGGATATGCCCAAATTTCCATTTTTCTTTGTCTGAACGTTAATTTTTTCAATGTTACACGTATTACCTTTGAATTCATGAACAACTACATCAACTGCAACAACGTTCTCGTGTTGTTTTGCTTGTCTAATATCGTTGGAAGTTGAATTCTCGCGAGTTTGATCAGGAATATTCTGTTTTGGTTCCTCTTAGAACATACTTGAACAAATGCTGGTGACAAGTTCTGATATTTAGCAAGATATGGTTGTAAATGTGGATGCCTTAACAACTCTGCAGCCTAATATATATTCAGATGCAAGAAGTAATGAATCAGTAAATATGTATGCAACATACATACAACAAAATGTAAGTAGTAACACGTATCGTAGGTCTATGTTCTGGGCTTTTTCTTAGCATGCTTTTAATCAATCGTTTCCTGGAACGAACAAATCAATATAAGAAATTGATGAAACAGTCACAATAACGTACTGTGGAAATGAGAAATTGATGTATCGTCTTACCATGTAGAAGAATATATGGTTGGAAGTGGAGATATAGTAGATCTGTTTATTTTGTTGATTAGCCCAGCCATATCCTGTTTTTCGAGTTAATTTCACATATGGTCACAAAACGTAACACATTATAGTTGTTATAGTATGTAAAGTTTAATGACTAACCGTAGCACGAAATGCAGCTTGATGGGCAGAAATTTCAAACATACAACAACCTGAGAAGCAAACCATTATAATCAATGTTGATCAATTGAGAATGCAAAAATTGCACTTTTTATAAGTTGAAGATGATGATTTACCTAGAGACCATATGTCTGATTAATATCCATAAGGTATATCTGCTAGAAGCTCAGGACACATATATGTTGGAGTACCCACAATCTACATCACATTGAACAACCAAATAAGAGTTGTATTCCCTCTGCTTCAATTTATGTGACATTTTATTTTGAGATGTCCCAAAATATTAGTACTAATTTGGAAAGAAATGATTGAGATGTATAAAATGAACAAGAACATTGCAATGCAATGAGGGAGGGTTTATTACCGAAGAGGCGAGATCATCTTTATTCAACAGTTTGGCTAATCCAAAGTCACCTACAGACATAACAAGTATCATAAGCAACACAAAATTTGCAGCAAATAAACATTTACTATATGGACTATTTACTCTTCTTACCAAGTCTGATTTCGTCGTCTTTGGTAAGGAAAATGTTAGAGCACTGGGGCAAAGCAAATGAAAACTATTCGTATGAGTTACTCCAAAACACTACAATTCTTTTATAAAAAAAGGTCATACTTTAAGATCTCTGTGAAGAACACGATTCGAGTGAACGTAATCGAGAGCCAGTAACAACTGAATCAAAATCCGTTTTGTGTTTTGTTGGAAATTTATTCTTATTTTTCTTACGTCTTCAGGGAAAAATGTTCCTCTGGCTTTTCTAATCATATTAGCCCTGAAAACAAGTACAAAATCTATCAAGAAATACATCATTATTATTGATTAAGATAAATTAGTGCTAATTTAGGCATGTTTAGGAAACTTACATGTCTCCACATTCACAATAGCTTGTAACAATGCAGACAAAGGAGTCCTAATTTATGTATAACATCACATAAATATTTTTTAGCATTCTACATGAATATGTGTACTAAATAAAAGAATATTAAGTCCTTATAGAAAATTTTGTTAATCGTATAAATATATATACCTTCTCTACCCATGCATCCTTGTACTCAATAATATAAGGTTTATCTAGCTTGGCTATCAAATTCATCTGCAAAAATCAAACTTAATAAGGTTAGATAAAAATAAAATAAAAAGGTAAGATAAGAATAATTATTCTTACTTTACATAGTGAAAAAAAAAGGAGGGAAAAAATTAACTATTCAACACTCCATAAGGTCTTGTTTGATAAATTAAAGCATAACTAAAGTTCCTTCTCTTTCATCTTGTTTAACATATCATATTATTGATCAACTTTTTCCAATTTTATTAGTAATAAAGTCATTTTGCTAATATTATCTTCTAACTCTGAGTGATATTATGTTGTTTATGATTTAGGCAACTTGGATAATGCTTCAATTTTCAAAGAGAAACAATAGATTTTTTTCAAAAGAGTGATATTTTAACTTTAAGTCATCTCAAATTTGAATTGAGGGCCACTATTAGTTTTGAAAAGAAACAATAAAACAATCTCAATTCATTGACCTTTCGGTACAATCAGTTTTGAAAAGAAACAACAAAACAATCTCAATTCATTGACCTTTCGGTACAATCAAATAGAAAGTCAGTCAAGGGCGGCAGAATCTTATTTGAGTTAGTAAGATCAAAGTTAGGGTTTTTACCCCAAAGTCTATGAATTAAAAATTTTTTTAATACAAACTTCTTATTGTTAAATTTTACTATTGTATTTTTAATCCATTGATGATTTTTGATTGATGGTTCATGGTTATTCCCTTTAACTAGAGTTATCTGAAAACTTTAAGATTCATTGGGCATACAAACTGCTCCCAAGGGGTGAATGTGTAGAAACTCCACGAATTAGACCTTGATAATGGATAAAAATTAAGTGGGTTAAAATGTCCAAGACTATTGTTTGAAAAGAAGATGATTGAATATTCTTATATTTATATGTTCTAGACTTGGAGCATCCAGAGACTTTAAGAAAAAAGGATCACATGAGCTTGTTTGATTCAAGTTCTTTGGTTGAGGTAGCATATAATTTACCTGGAGTTAGACTTTGATTAGTTCTTCTTATGTGATGTGAGTCTTATTGGGATGATAATGATTGTATAAATAAATTGTGGATTTTATAAAATTGTCTTTTATGACTTATATTTATGATGTGCATTTGTGATTTATATTGTGTATTGTGCTGTTATGAGAGATAATTGAGTTGAGAGCATACTGAGATATGTTGAAAATAAGAATACATATTTGTCACACCCCGAGACTACACCCTAGACGTGGCCGGCACTCGAAGACCATTGTTGGCCCCAAGCAAACCCTTGGCCTGGCTTACTTAACTCAACAAAATAAACTCAAATAATAGTTTAAATGATAACATCTTAGCCAAAATAGCAACTTATGTCTCAAAACAAAGTATCTGCAAATACATAACTGAGAGACTCAAAACTAACTGTCTGACTGTCTATGAAGCCTCTATAATCCTGAGATGGATGTTGGGAAAGACCCCACAACATCCTAATAAAACAAAACTAGGAAAGCAAAATAACAGAGTCCTCCGGAAAGCAAGGAGGCTCACCACTGAATCTGGAGTGCTCAACTGGATCAACGGCGCGCTGGATGCTGATCATGGTTATCTGTGTCTACATCATAATAAGATGCAGGCCAACTGACATCAATACATTGAATATATGAGTATGCGAGTTGGAATGCTAAACAACAACTTAAGCTTGAAAGGAGTACAAAGGAACACTTACCTTGGCTCTGTTTAACTCATGAATAACTGAACTCAATATAAAGCAATAAGACACATGCAATATATATAGAGCTTGTAAAACAGTGTAAACAACTTAATTCGTTAAAGATAAAGCAATAACAAACTCAACTTTACTTAAATATAAAAGTAATATAACTTTTGTGGGAGATTCTCTAACCGATAACCACCACTATGAGCCTAAGTGGTGATACAACGCCTTGCCCACGCTACCAGAACTGTCCTATACTTTGTCTTCATATAGAACGCTTAACTTAGTGGATCCACTAGTCTATGTTAAAAGCATCTTAAGGAGTCATCTAAAAAGTATGATCATTTACTAACCATGATTGCTACATGGTTTATGGAGACTTGAGTTAATATGAACTCGCATCCCCATATTGGTGCTCAATACTACTTCCAAAATATACTTAGCTCATATGTTTGTAAAAACAAAACTCTTGCTTTGGTTTGAGATAATTACTCAAAACTTAGCTTAAAAGCTCTCTTGGAATCGATGTTCCCTTTCTTGCTCAAATGTGAAAACATTTATAAACTCCTTAGGAATACTTAGTCCCCTTATAGCTTTTTGAGAAATGAACTCAACTCTTTACTCTTTTCTTAACTTGAAACTTGAGCCTAAAATGAAGTTTAAACGTTTATTAAAGACTCCTGAAAACTTTAAGAAACTTTACTTTGACTTGCTTCTTAACTTCTAGACTTGACTCTTAACTTCTTTGACTTTGATCTTAACTTTCCTTGAATTGAATTATTGATTCAAGGTTCATGATCTCATGTTTATGGATGATTTCATGATGTTTAGATGTACCTTAAGAGTGTTGGAATGAACTAGAAAATGTAGGTACATCACTTAGAAACTAGTACGAATAGATGGGGGAGGAATGGGGTGAACAGTGCGTCCTTGGACCTCTGAGAGGCGTGGGGCGCCAGGCCCCAAACCTCAGAGAACATACTGGGGAGCGCTGGCTGGCGCGGCGCCCCAAGGCCAAAACGTCAGACACAACTTTGGGGCGCGCTGGCTGGCGCGGAGCCCCACCCCTTTACCCAGAAAATTCCAACTTTTCTCCTTTGTTTTTCATCTCTAAACCCTCCAATCTTCCCTAGTTCCTTTCCCAAGCACTTTAGGGTCATTGGTACTCTCAACTTACAAAAAATCTAACTCGAAAATCCACCCGAAAACACGAATCAAATCAACAAGAAACTTCAACAACACAATCAATCAAGAGCTTAACAATATCCTTCAAGAACTTCACCTTTTTACATGTAAACAACTCAAAATCGTTGAATTGAAACAAGTTGGTGTGTGGGTGAACTAACCCATCACTAAAAGATCTCACATACCTTAATAGGGATCACCCCCGACGAAATTCACTCGCAAGCTTGGATGATCTTGACGAATTCTTGCCTTTTTCTCCCTTTCTTTCTATTCTCTTCTCTCTTCTCTAAGCCCTAAGCATATTTCTCAATTCTCCAAACTGACTAAGTCATGTTTTTACCCCAATAAATCCCTTAAATCAAATTAGGAAATTAATTAGAGAAAAGACTACTTTGCCCTTCCCTAAAACCGGATTGGGACTTTCCTCAATCCAACAACCCAACTTCCGAAAGGCATATCTCACTCATACGATGTCGAAATCGTGCAATCTCGGCGGCGTTGGAAAGATATCTCCAAGGTATTTCCAACCATATCAATATATGCTCCTATATTCTCCTGATCTAGGAGTTATGGCCGTTTGAAAATGGTCATAACTCACTTTCTTAACTTAGACAATTTCCATATTTCCTTATTCTTTCCAAAAATTAATATTTTCCTATTTTAAACTCTTTATAGTCGTTTCTAGGTGCGAGATTTTACAATATTCTATTTTGATGATGAGTGACTCGAGTTTGGTGTGAGATTATGGACGAGTGGTTATATGTGTTGGATCAGTAGTATGAGTGATAAATCAGGTGTCGCGCCGATACTGATATATCGGTATGGAAAAGTTTTCAATGATTTTATGTGATTTGCTCATATTCATGTGTAGAGTTTTTGTGGTTCATTATATTTATTGCGGGGACTTATTTTTCCAGCAATTGACCTTGATATGTTCGGAATGAGGCTATCTATATGCTTGGTGTTGACTTCTTGATCGTTCGTGTCTACATATTTTATGACTTGCCCTTATATACATTTTTACAAATCTTAGTCGGCTTGTGGTGCCGACTAGTCTAGTGTTTGTACTGATACTATTCCTACACTTTTTAGTGCAGATTGTGATCTAGAATCGTCCACATGACCTCACATTTATTGCAGCTACAGTACTCTAGATCTAAGGGTGAGCTACTCCCAATCAAGCTCAAATGATCAATGTCTACTCTCTCCAGACATTGTTTATTTATTTATCTAGCTAGTTTCATGACCATTCTTAGACATTTGAGTTAGACTCATGTACAAAGACTTTCGAATTTCGGGGATGTAATAGTTTAGACTTTCCGTACTTCTTATTTATTATGTTTGAAACTCTTAATTCTTGCCTTAATGCTTTTTAAATATGATTATTGATTAGTTATACCATGTTTTAGGTAATAAGATATGGTTATCTATTAGTATGTGTGTCAATCACGTCGGCTTGGATCGTGATAGTGACTTTCAATATTGGTAAGCAAATGGAGCTGCCAAGAGCATACAATGCAACCTATAGTTACCACATTGACGTAGTACCTACATCGTGCTGCAACATTAAATCAAGTGCTACTTGGGAGGCAACCCAATTTTTTTGATTTTCTTGTTTGGTTTTTAACGTGTGTTGTAATGTAGGACTTCAAAAAAAAAAAAAAAAAAATAGGAGTGTAATACAGGGAATTGAAAAGAAAAAATAGAGGTCCATTGGAAGGTGGATTTATGGGTCGTGCATCAACATACGAACCGTACTTCTTAGCTTACATTGTTGTTGAACTAACTTTGAAGTTTTAAAAATCTGATTTTTACATTATTCTAAAATGGGCGTTATTTAAAATTGTTGGGAATAGTATTTGGAGTTTGAACACAAAAACTTAAAATTTTTTGGAGTTGATTTTGAATTTAAATTGTTGCTAAGAATTTTCAAATATCCTACCAGATGTGTAATAATTTATCAGAATATTTGAAACATCTCTAACGATGTTTGAAACTTCTCATTAATGTTTCAAACATCTTCTTTTTAGTTCTTCATTGTCTGATTTTTTTCCTAGTATTTTGAATGTAAGAGAAAGGGAGAAAGAAGTCAATATTACTTTAAGAAAAAATGTTAATTAAATATTAATAAAATTAATATATTAATGTTCAATTATCATCAAATCAAATAAGTCAATATTTAACTATTTGTGAGATTAATAAATACAATTAAATCAATAAGTCATTATTTAAGCATCCTCATATATATTAGATGAAAATGAATAAGAACAAAATAATTTATCAAGGACAAGAATTAACTAGAGAAAAATTGAAAATAGGTTTGGCATCTCTAGATTCAATCAATAAATAGCCGCTAATCATAAATTCAAATAAATTAATGTTTAAACAAATTGTTACACCCTATGTTCATTAGAGAGTTATTGCATCACCATTTAGCCCAATTCTTCCTTTCTTATCCAACATTATCCCATTTGGTAAGAAATTAGATTGTCTCCACTGTTAAAATCTTCAAAGTTCGTAGAAGATCATGTTCGTCAGACTACAAATTTAACGTTGTTTGGTGGAAATTTGGATTGATTTTAAACAAGAATTGAAACTGAAAATCATAGAAGATCAAGTTCGTCAGTATAGCTAGTGATATTTATACACTTTTATACATTACTATACATGTTTATTTAAGATAGATATATTTTAATATACTTTTATACAAAGTAGATACATTAGTTATGGTGTATCCATATTATATTATACCATAATATATAAAAGTGTATAAACACTACTGAAAAAAAATATTGACTATGCATATGTAAACTCATAAAATTATAGTTACACGGCTACAATATTGTGTTTGTGTTGAATTTTCTCACATGATATTAAAAGGGATAATTGTACAGAATGACAAACTTATAATCTAAAATAAATGGAGTAGCTACTGTTTGATTTAATTGTGCCCCGTAGCAAACGTTTGTCAGTCGCCTCTCTCCCTCCAAATTCTCGCTCGCCACTCTCCCTTTCTCACTCGCTCCTTCTGTGCTCGCCTCTCTCGCTTTATACAACATAATTGTATAAATTGTGTTTTTGTTTGTATAAAGCGAAAGAAAATTGTATATACACATGCAAATACATATATATATTCGTCCTATACACTTATAATTATACAATAAAAATATTCCCCTGCCCAGTTCTCTTTTGCCTTTCTCTCTTTCTCGTTTTATACAAACACATATTATACAATATAATGTAAAATTTATGTTTGTATAATGTATAATTTATGTTTGTATAAAGCGAAAGAAATTGTATATACACATGCAAATACATATATATTCGTCTTATACACTTATAATTATACAATACAAATATTCCCTTGCCTAGTTCTCTTTTGCCTTTCTCTCTTTCTCGTTTTATACAAACACAGATTATACAAATATATACAAATATTTTTGTCAACGATTTATACAAATGAGAGGCTAACAACAATTTATACAAATGGCCAGCCAACAAAATTATACAAATCTGAAGAGGAGCCAACGAATTATACAATTGCTTCTTTTTGTATATATGTATAGCGAAATAGACATAGCTTTCAATTGTATATGTATAGCGAATTATACATATATCTGTTTGCTATGGAGCGCAATTATGCAACCTTTGTTATAGCATACAAACATGATTTTTTTGTTTGCTATATGTGAAAGTTGCTCTATTTAAAACATTCCTAAAGATGTTTCAAACAAAAAAATGTAGTTTGATTTATTTTTTTTAAATATAAAAAATTTGAAAATAATCATATTGGAACCAAGTCTCCAACAATAAAAAAACTGAAAATAATAATCAAGTCCTGCCCTCATTTCCACAATTGCCTTAATATATATATATATATATATATATATATATATATATATATAGTATATTAAATTGTTGTATCTTGGAATTCAATTCATTATTTGAAAATAATACAAGACATGGAAATGTTCGTAAAATATCCCCAACAGGCAAAAGTTATCATCTTTGTTTAAATCTTAATTATCCTTTTTATAAAGAGTTTGTTAAGTAGAGTAGCAAATTGAGCTCTAGCAATTCTCTTGAGAATAGTGAAATAGTCAATGATCTACATGTTTTACACATTTTAGAAAAATATTGTATTCTTACATTTGTGCACTATACAATTCCACTAATTAACTTAATTGTAAGGAATAAATAAAGTAACTCGATTCATCATGTAAAGTGGTTTTTATGTCTTTAAAATTTAAATATTCAAATTATTAAAAATATTTAAAATATTCTCTGGAGTCTTGACAATCGTGGAAAAATCAAAAGATTTAGAAGAAAAGTTTTTTTTTAAAGGTTGTGTTATGATTATAAAAATGTGATAAAGAGAGGTTTCTGGATTGACTTTTAAGTTACAAGTATAGTAAAATCTATTTTAAGTTCGTTTTTTACTTTTGGAAGTGTTTGATAAATATAAAAATAACTTAAAATAAGTCAAAAATAATTTAAAATAAGTTAGTAAGTGTTTGACAAGGTAAAAAGTAACTTAAAATAAATTTAAAATGACTTAAAATAAGTCAAAAACCAAAAGTAGGTCTCCCATGCTTTTTTATTTTTTGACTTAAAAATCATTTGAATTTGACTTTTTATTTTTGACTTAAAAGTCATTTAAATTTGATTTTTTTATTTTTGACTTAAAAACTATTTGTTAAGTCAATCAAAATGGACTCTAAGCCTCTCGATAACAATTACTTTTAACATTTTTTAAAAACTTTTAAATCGATTGCTTAGCTTCTTCTTTTTATAATATGAATACTAGTAGTAATATTATTACTTTTTGTAGTTTTTCTCCTTTGATTTCTGTTACTTTTTATAATACTAAATATTGGACTTTGTCATCATTAATTGCGGAGTCAAAAATTTTACTAACATGATTTAAAATATAAAGAAATAAAATACATAAGGAAGTTGAAGGACGGTCCATATCTATTATATAAAAAGTAATTTTAAGCATATCTAATAGTGTAATATATTCCATTGAAGTGAATAAAATCTTTTAATGATAAAAGTAAATATTTACATTATACTCTTTGTCATATGTGGTGTATTAAAATTTTAAATTATTTGGTCAAAATTTGTTTATTATGACAATCTTAGAAGATCTATTCTTATTTATCATAGAAGAATAATTTTACAAAAAAGTAATTGCTTTTACACTGTCCTCTTTCCCTCTATAAATGTCTAACTTTCTTGACTTTATTTTTTCTCTCTAGTAGAAAAAAGAACCAAAAAATGGAGAAGAAAAAGGGAACAATTCTTCTCTTCCCCTTCATGGCACAAGGCCACATTATACCTTTTTTAACCTTAGCCTTTAAATTAGAAAAAAAAGGTTACAATATATTTTTTGTGAATACACCTCTCAATATCAAAAAACTCAAATCATCTCTACCTCAAAATTCTTCTATTTCTCTTCTTGAAATTCCATTCAATAGTTCAGAACATGGCCTGCCTCCAAACACTGAAAACACTGATTCACTTACTTTTAAACTTTCCTTGCATTTTATAACAATCTCCTCTTTTCTTGAACCTTTATTTAGAAATCTTGTATCTAGTCTTATTGAAAAGCCACTTTGTGTAATATCAGACATGTTTTTTGGATGGTCAGCAAATATAGCTCATGAATTTGGAATTTTTCATGTCATTTTTAGTGGGGCTGGTGGTTTTGGCTTGGCATGTTATTACTCTATGTGGCTAAATTTGCCTCATCAAAAAACAGAAAACTTTGTTTTTACTATGCCTGATTTTCAAGAAGGTGGTAATCTTGATGTTAGTCAATTGAATCCAAGTCTATTAGAAGCTGATTCTAATGATCCTTACACAAATTTCAACTGGAAAAATCTTCCTAACTGGATTAACTCTGATGGGATTCTTTTCAATACAATTGAAGGTCTAGACAAGCTTGGATTAACATATTTTCGTCGAAAATTAGGAATACCTGTTTGGGCAATAGGACCAATACCTTGGCCAGTAAGTAATAAACAAAGAGTTGGCAATGAAACAGGTGAAGAAACAGAGAAGTTCATCAAATTTCTTGATGAAAAAGAAGAAGAATCAGTACTTTACATTTCTTTTGGCTCTCAGAACAGAATATCAACATCACAAATGATGGAATTGGCAAAAGCCTTGGATAATGCAAGTAGAGTAAACTTCATATGGGCTGTTAGGCCTCCTTTGGGTTTTGACATAAACATGGAATTCAGAGGAGAGGAGTGGCTTCCTGAGGGGTTTGTTCAACGTGTTTTCGAGGATCAAAATAGGGGACTTATAGTGCCAAAATGGGCTCCTCAGGTTTGTAACCATTTTATCTGAAAGTTTAAATTGTTAGAAACTTCATCCACACTTTTAATTATTTAATATCTCAAAATGCCATCTCACATGTAGGTCTGATTCTTTTTGTGGGGCCAAGCTTTTTCTTTTCAAATTGCTATGAGATTTGAATCCGAGACCTCTTGTTTGTCTAAATATCAGATAAGTGTGTAACCATATTATCTAAAAGCTTACGTTAATTTTTATTTTTTTTGGTTACAACAGGTTGAAATCTTGGCACACAAATCAATTGGAGCTTTCTTGACACATTGTGGATGGAACTCAGTGTTGGAATCACTTGAAAATGGAGTGCCACTTCTAGGTTGGCCTATTGCAGCAGAGCAATTTTACAATGCAAAGTTCTTGGAACAAGATGTTGGTGTATGTGTTGAGGTAGCTAGAGGGAATAATTCTCAAGTTAAGCATGAGGATATATTGGAGAAAATTGATGTTGTTATGGGCGTAAATGAGAAAGGGAATGAAATTAGAAGGAAAGCTTGTGAAGTTAAAGAAATGATAAATAATGCTATTATAGATGATGAAGATTTAAAAGGGTCATCTATTAGAGCAATGGATGAGTTTCTTAATGCAGCTTTGTCCATGAACAAATTATCAAATGATGGAAGGATTAATGGTAATAGTTGAGAAGACCATTCTTCTACATGGTGTTAATCATAAGAATTAAACAACAAAGAGAGAATATATGATTAAAGCACTTTGTTTAATGTAGAAAATAACATAAGTATGTGCTTTTGTGTATATTTTAATATAAATATGTGTTTGTGTATATGAGTGTGAGTTTTTTTCCTCCTTCACCCTAATCGTTTTTTCCATCGGCTTTAGTTTGATTTATGGAAGCGAAAGGGGATATGATATTAGAAAAACTAATCACAAATAACTCTATGTAATAAAGATTGATATGTAATCTGATAAAAAATGAAAAATAATACCTAATTACACAAATATTCCTATCATATTTACTAATTCATCATTTAGTTTGAAATAATTACACATTATCTTACTAATTCATAATTTCATATAAGATTTCAAGTCAGATATATCTATATGTAATGACCCTGTTGATCGTTTTTGGAAATTTTTGTTGAGTTTGATAAGGTTGCTTAAAAGTGGTTTTTGGTATATTTTGGAGTTTCGAATGTCCGAATGAAATTCTATCGATTTCATCAGTCCTCAAATGTGGAAATCGGTCGATGAGCTTCAAATTCGGAGTCTTTTTAAGGATTTGAGGTCGTAAGTAGGAAATTTGTGATAATTTAGCCTTTGGATTGACTTTGGTCAATATTTGGGGTTTAGATGCTCGGATCGGATTTCGGAGAGTTTCATTGGATTTGGGGGATGATTTTAGGCCTAGGTGAGGTCTTAGTTGAATTTTTAGAGTTTCCGAGCTTGATTTGACCTTTTTAGGTATTATGATTAGTTTATTGGGTCTTACACGGGACTTGAGTCAAGGAGACCTCATATTTGTATTTCGATGGTTCCATTGAGTCCGGAACGTCGAATATAGTCAAATCACATATATGATTTATGTGTACGGCGTTCAGAACGAATCCCGATGGTTCTTTCGACGATTTTGTGTTTGGTTGATTTTTCTGTTCTGTAGTGCTGAAGCCAACCCTCTGCGATCACGGAGCTTTAATGAGTCGGGGGCCGCATTTGCGGATAGGGGTCTGCGTTCGCGGAGGACCCCTAGACAAAATATCTTCCAAAAATCAGGGTTTCAACATCATTTCATCATTTTTGAATTTTGGGAGCTTTGGTGTGGCGATTTGAACAAAACTTTTGAGAAGAAATATTTGGGTAACGATTCCTAATCTTAAATCTTCATTTACCCATTATTATTTATGAATTAAGTGTTCAAATCAAGTTTTTGAAATGATTAATTGGGTTCTTTCTTGAAGAACTCAAGAATTAGTAAAATAGTGATTATGGACTGATTTTAAATCCTTTTTCGAAATGGTTTTCACCAATGAGTTCCAAATGCCTTGGGTAATGTTTTCAAGTAAAGATTTTCGGATTCAAACCACATTTTTGAAATTAGGTTCTTGAGATGATTTGGCCCATTTTGCAAATGTTTGAATTAGGTGTTGTTATTTTCGAAATCTTATTGTGATTATTTGATTGAATTAGATTGTCTGACTTTGGACATTGTTTGGAAATGGAAGACTCAAGTCTTGGATTGATCTTTGATTGAAATTGAGGCAAGTGATCTTCTAAACCTTGTAAAATTAGTAGAATCGCGTATTTCTCTTCATTTGTATGTGTTTGGGAGTAATGAGAACGAGGTGATGAGTTCAATTATTTCACTTGATTGATATTAATGAATAAAAAGGGGATTAATGACAAGGCAACATGTTTATCATAATACTTTGTGAATTTGCCTTGTTGTGAACCCTAATGTAATGATTGATAAAATGCTTTGATAATTTTTTTGTAGACTTGATTTGCTTTAGTTACTGTCTCTTCCTTGTGGTATAAAATTGCTTGCTTGCATTGAATTCTGAGCACCATGATGAGACATGTAATGATTATTGATGCCGAGGTCATTTTCGATAAGTGTTATTGACGCTAAGGTCATTTCCGACAAGTGTTATTGATGTCGAGGTCATTTCCAATGAGTGATATTGATGCCAAGGTCATTACCGCAGAGTGATATTGATGTCGAGATCATTATTAGCGAGTTCATGAACTATGGGTAGTTTTCATGAGTTTCAATTGATATTGTGAGTGATAAATCTGTGAATTTGTGCTCAGTGTGCTTGATTATTGTGCTTTGATGTACTTGATACCAACGATTGATCTATTTGACACTTGTGATTGCCATACTTGATACTTGATAATTGTTGAATTATGACTATTGGACTAGGATTAGGGGTGTACATGACCGGATTGGTTCGGGTTTTTCCAAATATCTAACCAAACCATCTGTGTCAAATTTTTAAATTTATAAACCAAATCAAACTAATAAAACTCAGATTTTTTGGTTTTTCAACCTCGATTTTTTCAGATTGGTTTGGGTTGTTCAAATATCAAATCAAACCATTTGTGTCGAATTTTTAAATCAAACCAAACTAATAAACCTCAAATTTTTCCGTAAAGTATTCATACAAACATGTGTTTTTAAGAAAATAACATAAAATAATGAGATGAGTGATGACATCAAAATATTTAATAAAAAATAATAATGAAATCGTATAAAATAAATATTGTAATTTGACAAGTCATAATGAAAATAATCATAATTTAAAAGTACTAAATTATGCGAAAATAAGTCTAATAAGTATTAGTTACATGATTAAACATTAAAGAAAAATTAAAATTAGGTTATATATTTTAAAAATCTAAACCAATGTAAAACTGTAACACCTAGGTATTTGAAAGAGTTAAAAATAGAAAGAACTAAATTGGAAATAAGCTAAATCTGAAAATTTTCAAGTTATGCTTAAGTTATGAGTTTGGGTCAACTTTAAATGACCATAACATTCAGTACATGATGAGTTAGGTGTCCCATAAGATATCAAATGAAAGGTCTTGGAATCCTCTTTCCAACGCCATCGAGTTTGCTAATTTTCGAGCTCGTATAAGGGATATATGATTGTTTTAAGTCAGACTATTCAATTAAGGAAAGTTACCCGAAAATATGAGGGGTATTTTGATCTTTTCCTTACCCTTTCAGATTTATGCATTTTTCGTAAATAATTAGGGGTCTAAATTGATTTGGTTCAGTTTTTCCAAATCAAAATACGCTTAGGGTTTTAGAAAAGAGTTCAAGAAAAGAAAAGAGAAGAAAAAAGGAGAAGATTCAAGCGTTCGTCGAGTTCTTGAGGCTTTCTTGCGGATTTTCACCAATGGTTTGATCCTTAAGAGGTATGTGAGTTCTCATAGTGTTGGGTTCGTTCACCCACACGCCAATCATGTTATTTTCAGCACAAATGCGTTCTTAATGTTAAAGCATTTGAGTTCTTATTGAGTTTTCTTGGAATAGCTTTCATAATCTTGTTTGTTGGGATTTCGATGAGTTCTTGGGATAAGTGTTAGTGTTTTGAGGGTTGTTTCGAGTAGATTATCGTGTACATACTTTGAGTTTTCGACTCTAAGTGATTGGGGAAGAACCCATTGGATTTTAGTCAAATTAAGGTCAGCAAACGAGTAGAAAATTAGTTGGAATTGTCTGGGGGAATGGTGGCGCGACGCTCCATACATGCGCTAGCAGGGCTGGCGTGACGAGCTAGCATGGAGCCAGAAATGGGTCTCTAAAGTTTAAGGGTTGGCGCCCCACGCCAACAATGCGCCAGGGTCGCTTGCCCCCACCATTTTTTCGTCGTTTAGCCCATCTAAGTCCTTTTAAATTATACCTTTACTTCCTATCGATTCTAACTACTCTAAACTACTTCTAAACATCTAGAAATAATTCAAACACGAATCATAACCTTGAATTCATAATTCAAATTCAAGGTAGAGCTAAGAGTCAAGTCTTAAGAGTTCATCTGAGTCATTTTAGTAAGTCTTTTACAATCGTTTTAAACTTGTTTTAAGACTTGAGCATTTGAGTTTGAGGAAGAGTAGAGCCGAGTTCATTTTCTTTAAAATGATAAATGAGAACTAAGTATTCTCAAGAGTAAATGTATTTACATTTAAGCAGAGAGGAAACACCGATTTCCAAAAGAGTTTTCATGAGCAGTTTTTAGTACCATCTCTTTTAAGAGAAAGATTTTTGAGTAATAATCTCAAACCACAGAAAGAGTTATGTTTTTAAAAATATGAGCTAGTTACATTTTGGGAGTATTATTGAGCACCGATATGGGGACGAGTTCAAATAACTCAAAGTCTCCATAAACCATATAGCCAATGTGGGTAGAAAGGGGTCATACTTTGTAGATGATTCCTTAGTGCTTTTAGCATAGACTAGTGGATCCACTTAGTAGTAGGTCCTATACCCTAGAAAAGTATAGGACAGTTCTAGCAGCGTGGGCTAGACGATATATCATCACATAACTCATAGTGATGGTTGTCAGTTAGAGAATCTCCCACAGAGTTACTTGTATTTTTATATACACACTGAGTTATATTGTATTTTCTAATACATTGAGTTATTGTCTACTGATTTAAAAAGCTTTTTCTTTATAATGCATCTTTATTACTACTTTATATTGGAATGAATTGAGTTGAGACGAGGTAAGTTGTTTCTTTATCTCCAGTTCAAGCTTATATCATGTTTTAGAATTCCCCTCGCATACTCGTACATTCCATGTACTGACGCCATTTGTCCTGCATTTTTTATGATGCAAATACAGTTAACCAGGATCAACATCCAGTGCTTTGTTGATCCAATTGAGCTCCAGAGTTTTTTGGTGAGCCTTCTTGCTTCCGGAGGATCCCTTTTGTTATGTTTCAGTTATTTCAATTGTTAGGATGATCGGGGGTCTTTTCCCGACATCCCTCATAGTATTAGAGGCTTCATAGATAGATATACATAGTTCATGAGACTTTTTCATTTCAGTTATTGATGCCTGAGACTTGAGTTGCCACTTTTGCTAGTTTCTTTAAATATTATGAGTTAGTTATCTTGAGTTATAGCTTTAATTTTAAAGTTATATTATGTTGAGTAAGTCTTCTGCTGAGAGTTA